CCCAGACTGGAGTGCAGTGGCCGCTCCCGGCCACCACAGCCTCGACCTGCTGGCTCCGGCAATCCTTCCACCTCAGCCTTCCACATAGCTGGGACTATAGGCGCATGCTGCCACGCCCAGCTAATTTTTTTTTTATTTATTGTAGAGATGAGGTCTTGCTGCCAGGCGGGTCTCAAACCCGCGGGCTCAGGCAATCCACTCACCTCAGCCTCCCAAAAGCGTGGGATTACAGGCTGAGCCACCGAGCCTGGCACTTCTAAGCATTTACCCAAGAGAAAAGGAGACGCATGTCTATACAGCGACCCGTCTGTGAATATACACAGCAGCTTTGTGTGTAACTGCCCAAACTAGAAACAATCCAAATATCCATGGACAGGTGGTTGGATAAGCAAATTGTGGTATGCCCACCCACAGGAATACTACTTAGCAATGAAAAGGAACAAGCAACAGTATGGACGAATCTCAAAACGATTGCGCTTGGTGAAGGAAGCCAGACCATAAAAGGGGGACACTCCGTTTACACAGTAAATGGCAACTGAAATGGAAACCAAACTCTAGAGACAGAAAGCAGATCCGCAGTTGCCTGGGGATGAGGGAGGGAGCAGGGGAGAGTATTCAGGGACACAGGGAAACCGTGGGGTGAACTAGCACTCAGGTTCATGGTGTTCATGGGATGATTGATTCTTTAGTGAATGTGTGGCAAAACTTACTAAATTGTACACTGTAACACGCACAATTTATTGTATCTATTATACCTCAATGAAACTGCAAAATGCATTTTCATTCTGTTTTCTAATCCATTAATGATTGTAATTGGTCATAATGACCTCGTATCCTATTCAAAGGAGACTGTAGGTTTACTGTGACAATAAACTCAGGCCTACACTACCACTCTGCCCCAGACGTTGCTTACCCTCAGGGACCCTAAACAAAGCGTCAAGAAACGGCTCTCCCCTGGGGCTTGGCTCCTTAAGCCTTCATCTTCACAGGAAAGACGGTGGCAGGAGGGGTCCTGTGAGTGGCTTGGCTCCCCCCATGGTCGCTCAGACAATCACCCTTCCATTGTTTGAAACGAAAAAATACTACAGAGCGTTTTTCTCCGTGTAGGTAAAATGCCACATAGACACAGCTTGGAGAAAAGTCCCCCACTCCAGGCCGGAGGGACCCCAAGCCCCTCCCACACACAATCTCAAGCCACCTCTGCATTCACCCTGTCTGTGATTCTTTCTATGATGGAGATGGTGTTGTGGTGTCCTTATTTCTGTGATTAGCATCGATAATTACGCTGAGAGTCGTAGAACATCCTGCTTCCGACTGGTGTTCGCCAAATTTCACAAAATGTCGGCTTCTGTGGAAACCCTGCAAGCCTTTACCGGCCAAAGCTTCCTGCCTCGCCGGGAGACCATCCTAATTCCACCCTGCAGCTTTGCCTTTCAAATGTTTGCTGGCTCGCCTAACAGCAAGGATTAGGGAATTACAGGGATAAAGCCTGCTTTGAAGGCAAGCATTGCTGCCCGTCTGGCACCAGAGCCAGGCCTCCTAAACTGGCATACCCACAATTCACAGTTCGAGTCCAGAGACTCGCCTTGGTCTTCCAAGCTGCAGGACACCGTTTCCCAAGGGGAGGTTGTGTCCCATCATGGTCCCAGATTCTCCAGATACACATTTGCAGTGTAGCGAACTCCTGAAAGCCAGACCAGCTGAGTTATTTTAAGATCACTCCTTCGTTGAGTTGGCAAAACAAGTCTGCTCAATTATTTGACAGAAAAGCACTTTACAGGGACGCGTTCCTTCAGCTTCAGTAAAGCTTCCCTTTTTGAAAGAGCGAGGGTTTCTGTGTAGTCCAAGTATGACTTGTTCCTGTGCTGTCTAGAAGGAAAAATTCCCCTTCGTTACCAAGACCATGTAGCAAATTAACCAGAGGCTTTAGAGCCCCTTTGATAAGCATTTTAAACAATGAACGGAAAAAAGATTATAAAAAAAAGGACAGTGATTGTCCCATAGGAAAGACAGTTTGTCTTTTTACAGTTTGCTTAACAAGAGAGCTCAAGGAGACCAGCTGTCAAGCGACACTCGCCATTCTAGTTTGGGAAACCAGGGTCAAGGAGCAAAGTCCAGAGCTGTTCCTAGCTGCAACCAGTCTTTGGGGCCGAGCAGGTTTTTAGTGACCATTTGCCCTCGGCCTGCAGAAAACAGGTTTTGCCGCAGAAGGGGTGCTGCAATGTGCCCCTCGGGACTCCTCAGAACTGTCCTGCCACGTCGCCTTCCCGACAGTTCTCGTCCACTGACTGGCTGATGCCGGGGTCTCCCCGGCCTGGCCCTCCTGTCCCAACTCATTAGCCTCCGAATGACTCTGAAGGGCCGTCCCAGCTTCAGAAACCTCAGTGGGGTTTGAGACTGATCCACACCTCGGCACAGTGCACACACTGACAACCAGACATGCAGCCCGGGAGCAGAATTGTTTTAAGTTGCTTTTCTTTAATTTGATGAGTCAATCTAAGCATCTATTAGTATTTTTTTTTAATTTGAGTCAGAGTCTCACTCTGTCACCCAGGCTGGAGTCTAATGGCACACTCACAGCCACC